CCCGTCTAGATTCTAAGTGAATCTACTCTGGGCGACTTACAGTCCGAGCAATATAAAACCAAGAATTAAAACAGGCAATATCAGAACAAAAGAGAGATGAGCAGAGTCCAAGATGGGAAACCACAGAGAGCTAAGTGATGGAAGGAGGGAAGTGAAATTTCTGCTAGTGAGATTTCTGCCTTGATAGGATTTGAAACTTTCTCAAGTGTCCTTCTGGTGGTCAATGATATCTAAATCTTGACTCTTAACACCAATTTATGAGTGAATCAATTTTCCTTCTGTCAGCTTGCTTTGTTGTCCAGCTTTCACTTCTGTACTTTGTACTCGGGAATACAGTAATATGGATTATTTGGGCTTTGGTTTCAACAACACATCTTTACTTCCAATGATTGTTTCCAGCTACCCTTTCAAGGCTTTGCCTTCTGGTGTCTTGGCTGCAATCCTCATTTTGATTTATGATTGCCGTCAGGTATAAAATGTTTTCCACAGATTGATTTCATCATTTTTACAATTGCAACTATGTAATTCTTCCATAATGATTGGTTTTTGTCAGGTTAGTGTTCTGATGTATTCCTGCTTTTACACTTTCTTTTCTAAACTTCCTTGATAGTTATTTCAAGTTGTTACTGCTTTCTGCCAAGAATATATCATCTGCTTATCTTAAGTTACTGATGTTTTTTCCTGAGAGTTTTTACTTCTTTATCTGAATCCAGTCAAGCTTTTCATATGTTCTGCATATTTCAGCTGAGCAGATAGGAATATAAAACACACCATTTGCCAACTGGAAACTGTTGTTTCTCATTGTTTTAGAAAAATCCATAGCTTTTCTTGATCCACACAGTTAATACATAAAGTGCAACATCATTTTATTCTGAAATTTGTTGGTATGTCCTAGTAACTAATTTATAGTTGCAATGTGATCTCTAGTGACTCTTCCTTCTCGAAATCCAGCTTGAACATTAAGCATTTATTGCGCCATATATGTTAAAAATCTTTGTTTCAGTACTTTGAGCATCACTTAGTTTTCAAAGAAAATTAATGTAATAGACCTGTATTTACTGTATTTTTCAGTATCTTCTTTCTTTGTGATTGGAATGTCTATTAAATACTTCTAATCTGTGGACCATTGTTTTGTTTTCCACATTTTTTGTCTTATTCTCATTAGGCTTTTGCTAGATCTGGTCTCTGTAGCTCTACTAGCATTCTGTCTACTGGTAAATTTGTTTCTTTCCATTGTTTTGAAAGCAGAATTTGCTTCATTTTCTAAAATGTTTGGTTCTTCACTGTAGAATTCTTTAAAGGAATTTGTCATCCTTGCTTGCCTCTTCTCTAAGTAGTTCTTCTGTATGTTGTTTCCATTTTGTCTTTATTTTATCCTTGATAAGTGTCACTAAGTCATGTCCAATATATAATGACCCTAATAGAGGAGTGGCTTTAATCTCTCCCCCAGTAAGTTTCCATGGCCAAATGTGGATTTGAACCCAGATCTCCTGAGTCTGAGTATGCCACTTTTATTCCCTCTACCACACGGGGATCCATTGAAATGTGGATATTTTAAAAATACTCAAAAGTGTGGCTTATCTGAAATTTGAACCTGACACCTAAGTGCAAATCATCCTTAGACCAACAAGCCAATATCTTATCCTTGTCAGGTTTTTCAGCATTCCTAATCTTGATCTTGATCTTTTTTATTTCTTGGATCTCATGGAAGAGATCTTTTGTTGTTATTTTTATTTCTTAGCAGTGTTTATTATATCTTTTTGTTCCTACATGCAGGATATTGAAACGATATATTTAGGATTCTGACCTGGTTTCCATCTATTACTTTTTTGTCTCCTCTGTCACTAACAACTTTAAGAGTTTCATCAGTCACCTATTGAGGCTTTCTTTTCTTTGGATCACAAAGCTCATTTTTATCACTGTTCCACAATGATAGCTTTTACATTCTAGTCAGCTATGGTTATCAGAACATCCTGTTATGGGATGTGATCAGTGTCTTCCTGGACACTTGCATAAAAGCTTTTGATTTCTTCTTCTTTAATATATCTAGCGAAGGTTTAAATGATAGTTGTGTTTTTAGATTTCTAAGAAGTCTGATTGACATTAATCAGCCAGACCTTGCTTTATACAGTGGTAGCCCGCTTGACGACGATAATGTGTTCCAGCAAAATCGCTGTTAAGCGAAATCATCGTCAAGCAAAAAAAAATCCCCACTGGGTTTCATTGAAAACCAGTCAGTGCGTTCCAATGGGCGAAATACCTCAGCATCCAGTGAACATTGCTCATAGAGAACTGCCGATCAGCTGTTTTAAAACGCTGTAATGCGAAGCTTCCGTCCGGAAAGCAGCCATTTTGAGAAAGCAGCCATTTTGCAGAGTTGGAAAAAACATCGTTTTGCAAACAAACGGTTCACGAAACAGGCTCCTTATCAACGTAAAGTGGATTTTCCCCATTGGAACCATCGTTTTGCGATCGCAATAGCGATCGCAAAAAATGTCATCCTCAAGCGATTTTGACGTCATGCGGGGTAGGCGTCTAGTGGGGTACCACTGTAATCCATAACTGCTCATGCTGTGTCTTGCTTTACTACTGGAGCTACCTTTTTCCTTCTGCATTTGTGGTGTCCAGAGTAAAACACTTGGGAATTACCAGAAAGTGGCCTGTTTCACTCACGTTTAGTCACAATAAGTAATATGGGCTAAAATCCAATTCTTTATTGCAATAACTTACACTAAAGTAGGCTCATTGACTAAATGGGAATTTGGTGAGTCGCTTCCCCATAAGTTCCATTGATTTAAATAGGCCTACTTGAGCTGCAACTTACTTTAGCCTAGTTGCAGTTAGAATTTGAATCAATGGAACTTTTGGGGAAGGTGACTCAGCAAATCCCTATTACTTCAATAGGCCTACTCTAGTGTGATTTACTATACTAAGCAACAGGATTTTGCCCACCATGTTTTAAACACCCTGTTTCTCATTTTACAGTTTCAGCGTTGCCTCGGTCTCTCTTTTTTCACATTCCGTGTTCCAGTCGCTTGCCCAGTACAGCACTAATTATGCTTTTGGTGCCGTTGACTTTGAAAAGTGGTCCTTCTTTTAGTATGTAATAATATACACATAGCTGAAGATCTGTCACTGTGGTTGCAGTGTGAGGTGGAGGCTGCCTTGGTTTTGTAACACAGAGTTTCTGGTTAATCTATAAGCAGCTGTTTGAATGGATAATAGTTAATTGCAGTGGAGAGTTGGATTAGATGCCATCTGGATTCTTGTAGATTCTTCGCTGTATGGAATAAATGGTTCTTTTAATATTTATTTTCTGTGTTCTAAATGTCCTTGGCTCTATTGATAGCTGGCTATAGTAATCCATGACATAGACATGGCATTGGAAGAAGAGCTAACAGCATGGCACAATGACTGTTATAGTTCTAGACACACAACATCACAAGCTGATGATAATTTAAGGTGGAATGAATGCAATCGATAATTGAAATCTTGCTAGCCCTGTTCTCCGTTGCCACAAGACAGCAATGATTTGTAATGGAACTAGGACTTAAATGTGTGCTTTCTTGAGACTGTTGTTCACTTTGCTGAATAAGGACCACTTACTGTTTGTGAATAAAACTCACTTCCTCCCCATCAGTTGGTTGGATGGTTTGGATGTATCCATCAAGGGATATTTCTGTATCTTCTGTCTTGTTTTCTGTCGCTATCCCTACCTGCTATCCCTGCCCTGCCTTTATTACCAGTAGTCTCTCAAAGTATTGCTTCCCTTACTTATAATGCAAATGGCTGCATCTCTTTGGAAAGATATGGCAAGTAATTGGTGCCTGTGAGGCTCTTGGTATACAGTGGTGCCCTGCTTGATGACGATAATCCGTTCCAGCAAAATCGCTGTAGAACGAAATTGTCGTCAAGCAGGGGGAAAAAACCCATTGAAATGCATTAAAACTGGTTAATGTGTTCCAATGGGCGAAATACCTCATCGTCCAGTGAAAATCCTCCATAGGGCAGCCATTTACCGGTGCCTGTACAGCGAAAAATTAGTCTTGAAAACAGCGCGGAGCCATTTTGCACAGTGGTTGGCCATTTTGAAACCCAACGATCAGCTGTTTTTAGATCGTCGTAAAGCGAAAAATCGGTTCCCGAAGCAGGGAACCAATCATCGTCAAGCGTTTTTTTCCTATTTAAACATCATTTTGCGATCGCAAAAATAATCACAAAAACATTGTCATGAAGCGGATTTGTCATGGAGCAGGGTAATCGTTACCCGGGGCACCACTGTATTTGCCTTATGAGTAAGCAGAGTCTTTCATTGGATGTGGAAGGAGGTATGGGGAGGCTAGTAGAGCTTTTTCTGGTGTAGCTGGCATTTCACACTCACTGAGACTGTAGCATTCTGGGTCACAGTAATTTGAATTTTATATATTTGAATAATAAATAATTCGAGTCACTAACTTGGGGTTCAACATTGTCTTATTTCCAGAGCTCAGGCAATTGCCATTGGACAGGCATTGGTAGATGGCCGCTGGCTGGACTGTGTCAGTCACCATGATCAGATCTTTAGAGATGAATATGCCCTCTACAGACCTTTACAGGTATGGACTTCTTATTGTGGTGATGTGAGGTATGAGTTTTGCTGATTCTAACACTGCTTTTTGTTGTTCAGTGGCTTTGGATTCTTTTTAGCTAGATAACTAAAAACTGAGTGGCCTTGATAGTTTCTGCCAAGATCATATTTCCTAGATGTGTGCTTGCTTGTTTGAAAAGGTGTGAAGAGCAGATCTCATTTCTGATAAACTCATTAATGTCAACTAATTTACTTAAGGTCAAGAAAGGTAGCGAGAAACCTGTGAAACCTTCGGTGGAGAGAAAGGTAGGCATATCCCAGGTAACTTGAGCAGAACCGTTGGCTGGGAGAAGGAGGGGGAGACTCAAGAGGAAGTTTTAAGCCAAGAAGATGATCTTCAAAAATAAGACTTCAAGTTACAAAGCATCAAGTAGGGGGTTCTTCTCAAATGTACAGTGATGTAAAAAAAAAGTGCACACTCTTCGAATTCCATGGTTTTACATATGAGGACATAATAAAAATCAGTGAGAGACTGATAAAGTCAAACAGAAAATGATTACTTCAAGTTACTGCTCCTGCAGGCTATTGAATCATAAGAGGTACTTAGTTTCCACACATGGCTTCTCTGTTTTGGCTTCTTTGTTTTTGAATAAATCATGTCATGGTGTAATATGTATGTCATGTGTTGTTCATCTGAGGCTGTATTTACCTAATTTTCGGACTTGCTAAGGACCAGATAGTTTTCATCTGTCCTGATATGAAAAAAAAACACATAGAATTCAAAGAGGGTGTACTTCCTTTTTCAAATGACTGTAGAAGACAGGAGGTCTGAATAAGTCTATAAGGCTATCTACAAAATGTTTCTTGCTAGACCGTGTTAGGGACTTCGCGGCATTTGTAAAGAAATCACATGTCACTGAAAATGTTATTACCTGGCTTGGTCAAATTCAAACAAACAAAAAAGGCCAGGCAATTGAGTTATTCCCTAATGTCTTCAGTCTTTAGACAGTAATGACCTCTTCATTGTGAAGATGAATTAGGAAAGCAAATGCACAGACAAGTAGCTTTCTGGATAAGCAGGAAAGACTCATCAGGAAGCATCATTTTGAGTGTAGGAAAGATAAAACATGACACCCATTAGGTTTTGTTCTATTAGAGTTTGCTCATGTGAGGCTGTATTTAAATATGCTGCTGTAGAAACTGGAGCTGATCTGGCTCTTTATGTTAGGACTTGAAGCTGTTGAGATAGTAAAATAAGAAGCATGAAACAAAGTGCACCACTGCCTTGTTAGTGCTCTCTCTGCATACCCCAGAGTAGGTGGCAGAGACTAATTGCTTTGGAAAAAAAAATATATTAACCCATAACAAGTCTCCTGAAGGATGTTTTTTAAAACATGAAATGTCAGTTTGGAACGATCATTTATTTACAGCACTCTCAATTGGCACAAAAGATTTTGACTACCTAGAGTAGCCAGAATCATGGTTTAAAGGCTGTGTTTCCTGCATAAAATGCCAGCTACTCTGCAGCTCAGGATGCATGTGTTATTCTTGCATATGGACTACAGTACCTAGCCAGGAGGAATGGTGGAAGATGCTGCCTTCACTGACCCAGCCAGCCAGGCTCCTTTACTTTGGATTTTCTTAAGAGGACTTTGGTGGAGAACTGAACTCTTTTCCTCCGTGATATATTTGTAGAGGCCTAAAACATTTTGGTGGCGCTGCGGGCTAAACCGCAGAAGCCTGTGCTGCAGGGTCAGAAGACCAAGCAGTCGTAAGATCGAATCCACGCGACAGAGTGAGCTCCCTTTGCTTGTCCCAGCTCCTGCCAACCTAGCGCTTCGAAAGCATGCAAATGCAAGTAGATAAATAGGGACCACCTCAGTGGGAAGGTAACAGCGTTCCATGTCTAAGTCGCACTGGCCATGTGACCACGGAAGATTGGCTTCGGACAAACGCTGGCTCTATGGCTTGGAAACGGGGATGAGCACCGCCCCCGAGAGTCGAACGCGACTGGACAAAAATTGTCAAGGGGAACCTTTACCTTTACTAAAACATTTTGAGCTAGAGAATATCTTATGGCCAGTCATGATGTAATTGCATAAGGAGGACAATGGCTTTAATTTTCATTATGGACAAACAGTCCACAGCCCCTTTTAAAAGTGGTTCCCAAGGTTTCTTCCTAACTCAGTTTTTCCTTTTCTATCTGGCCTTTCAGTTTGTAAGCCTGTGGGCAGGGATTGTGATGCAAATTATGCTTAATTGGTGCAATAAATAAGGTGTCAGAAAGCTGGCTTTGTTGGCTGTATAATTTAACTTTTTCCATTCCTGCGGAACTTTTTAAAAAAATCTTTGGTGCAGCATCCCTCCTACTGATGTGTGAGCTGAGTTTACTGACTTTGACCTTGTTTCTTGATTATTTTATGTGTAATCTTTTTCTCACCAGTATCTGCATTCATACTACTTAAAAACATTTTTAGAAGGTACTAATATTTTATTTTCTATGTCAGTTATGACTTGACAAATTTGTTAGATTCATCTACAAATCTGAATTTATCTTAAAGTCCACAGTCTCTACTTCACAGCTAATCCCCCATAATAATTTTTCCCATAAAGCTCCTAGGTCAGAATACTGCTGTGGAAATGTGGAGCATAAAGGAGATTATACAAGTGCTTCCCTCATTCAGTGGGTTGTCTTTTCCATGCCTGCTGGTATACTAGTTGCAAAACAGGGTGTGGAATCAGAGTGGCATGAAAGACAAGCTGCTAGAATGGGCAAGCTACTATATGCTTGCCCTTGGGTGGGTGGATGGTTTTTTGCAACAAGAATTTGGCCCAATTTTGGGAAGTGGGGTGAGTAATGTATTGTTTTGTTTTTGAAACAAGTAATAAAGAAATCAAGCAATGGAATAGACGACAAATCATCCTCCCACAGTGTCGTTTAGCCTAAAATATGGGATGCAAGATCTTGTGAGGGAACCAATATAAGCATATTTTTCCATATGTCTGAAGTGGATGTGTCCATGAAAGCTTACATTAAAATATAATAGTTAGTCTTTAAGGTGCCACATGTTTTTGCCTTTTTATTTATTTGTTTGCTTGTTTTGTTCTGTTTCTTTGGAATTTGCCTGATAATGCTTGCAAAGACTTAATACAGCTGCCTCTCCTAAAACTACTGTATAAGCAATGGTGAGAATAACAAACAAAAATCCATGTTCCCTTCTCCACCTGATCTTTCAGAGCACAGAATTTTCTGAAACTCCTTCTCCAGACAGTGATTCTGTCAACTCTGTGGAGGGCCACTCTGAGCCATCATGGTTCAAAGACATCAAATTCGATGACAGTGACACAGAACAAATTGCGGAAGAAGGAGATGACAACTTGACCAGTGAGTTTCTGTGTCCCTGTTTTAAGAAGGCTTGCCTTACTAACATGTAGATGTTTTACTTTGCTCTGCCTCCTGTTGTGTTGTGTAGATAAAAGCTTTATCTAATCCTTTTAAACAGATGCAGCATTTTCTGCATGGTTTGCTAGAATAGTTTTTCAAGCTTGCATGAAGTGTTTGCTCTAGAGCTGTGTTTTTGTGATTTTTTTAAAAAGCCACCCTGCTTAAAGCAAATGGCCTCAAAATACCACCAGAATCCTAACATAGCCACAATTTACGAGTGGAGGAAAACACTGTCTGTCTGTTTCTCTTTTCTTCCCTTTTCTGTCTCTCTCTGTCTCTTCAACACTGCACTCTGGGCATTGTTTAACTGAGATAATTTCTCTCCTCTCTTTGATACCCTCATGAATATCTGTTATTTGAATCCATCCTCTCCTCCCTGTATCTCTCCCCCCTCCTCAATCAAATCTAAAAGATTCTGCCAGCCCTAGCAAGCGTACCTCAGTCAGCAGCTTCCAGTCTGCCATGGACAGCGACTCAGCTGCTTCCATCAGCCTGAACGTGGAGCTGGACAACGTGAACTTCCATATCAAGAAGCACTCCAAGTATCCACATGTGCCCCCTCACCCTGCCGACCAAAAAGGTATGAGGTAGGAACCCCTTGGAGTTGCAAAGGATAGAAAGCAGGGCTTGGGGAGCCATCTGTCTGAACACTAGTTTGTGCCCCCCCCCTCCCCTGATCCCTGTTTATTCTCATGTCTTTCTCTCACAGTTAAGGAATGTGAATTATTGTAAATAACTGATCAATATAAGATGTTATAAGCTCTGAGCTCGCCTCTTCCATCAGGCATCCTTTTTTTCCATCTGGGTTTAGGTGTATTGAAGAACATCTGCACCTAAGCTTTCATTGATGTCCTTTAGGGATGGCTCTACAGAAGTTTCAGACAGGCAGAAGCCTAGTAGTTCTGATGTAGGTAGAATAACAGTATGGACTCTGCCAAATCAGTGTGATTTTCTCTTCTGCCTTTCTCCGTCCATGGTCAAGGCAATTTCAGGAGTTGAGCTTTGATCACCACCCTCTAAAGAAGTCTTCCCCAAACTGGCGTCATGCTGATAAGTTGGACTACTATGAGGTGGAGAGTCTTGGTGGGTTTGAGAGTCATAGTTTCACCACCAGACTGTATCATGGACATGCAGGTCTGTAAATGGCTATTTTTCGGGCTGTTGCTTAGCATCATTTCGGCCACTTTAGAATCATTTGGGTTTTATTATTTTATTAATTTATTATTATTACCGTTAAATACGGTTCATTTATTTGGAAAAAAAATAAAATAAGTAAAAATCTGTTTTTTTCTCCCTTCTTCCTCTTCCACCACAAGAATTTAAATTCTGGTTATATGATCTTGTACAAAATTATGAACTTTTCATTTTCCTTGTTTCTTTTGAAGTCACCACCTGAAAAAAACACAGTGGAAATTAGGGGATTTTTTAATTTCTAAATGGCAATACGTAGAAGGTAAATTGCCTGTGCCTCCTTTTGCTCTTAGATGTAGTCATTAAGAGAGAAACTAACAAGTATTACTTTTAAGTTTGAATAGATGGCTGAACTATCACAGCATGGTAACACAACAGCTTGGGTTAGAAAATTCTGTATGAATTGCTATTTGCTGAGACTAATGTAACAAACTAACCATAGTAAAAAATTCTTCTTTTGCCTCATGACTTAACAGATTGTTTTATTTCCTTCTTAATATTGCATGTGTGCCAATAATGTTTATTGAATACATCTGAATTTCTGGTGATTATTAGGAGGAAGAGTTGTAAACGGTCAGTATTGCATGCGTTTCACAATAAATCTTGGCAATTTCAGTTCAGGCTTAATTGACCTTGAAAGCTGTACAAATGTGGCCAAATTACTCAAGAAAATAACGGGTTCAAGAATAATTTCTGCTTGGCATTTGATCTGAGCCCTCAGAGTCTTGTGCATCTCCTGGATGTACTCTGGAACATGAAAAGGGTGCTGCCTTTCTGGCTCACATTTTATATGCCAGCTGGGAACTAACTGTGAATCTTCTTCATTTTTTAACAAAAAGTCCCAAGCTAGCCTTGCCACCATCCACTTACCGTAATTCAGTTTTAGACATTTTAAGCGGAATAGCAGTCTTCCTTAAAAGTGTGTTTATTTTCATATTTAGCACTAGATTCATGTAAGATAATAAGAAAAGCACAGGCATGGCTGATGGGGACACGAGAAAGGGCCTGCTCTATACCAGCTCCTAAGTGATGGAATGCTCTCCCCCAGGATATCAGATGAGGGGGGCCCTCCCTTCTATCCTTCTGGCGACAGCTGAAGACTCATCTCTTGTGGCAGGCTTTTAACAATAATGATTGAATCCCGGAATGCCTTTCTAAAGATAGTTTTTACTTGCTTTTAGTTCTTCAAGTGTATTTAAATCAGTGCATAGTTTAATTTTTTAAAAAAATTTAACTTATGTTTTTAAGACATAAGACATAAGAAATTTATTTGTCATTGCACTCACAAGTGGGTGCAACGAAATGAGGTGCTCTTCCCCTAGGTAAAACTGGACAACACCACTACAAAAAAAAGTTA